TGCATCTTCAGTTGGAATGGGTTTACAAAGGAGCTTCAGAGAAAAACAGCGCAGAGAGAATTTGGAAGGGAAAGTGTTTTGGTGTTGGCATTGGTGGGGTATCCTGGTCTAAGGCTCACCCTGTGGCCATGGTTAAGGCTGAGAAAGAGAAACCTATGGGGAAGGCTAGACAGTTGGAAGAGGCTAGAAAAGAGCTCTCAAAGTGAAAGGTGGGCTGCAAAGAGAAATTGGCTTCAAGAACTTCTTGTTCTGGGCAGTGTCTGAGGGTCATGTCTGAAGCTCAGCCTCTGAGATTAAAGTCAGGGTTAGGCTTGGGAGGGGGAGTCATGAGCTTCTGCTGCAGTGGGACTGTGAAAGAATGGATAACTGGAAGAAGGAGAATTTTGTTCCCATAAGTTTTCTGTTTGACCTAGCCCAAGGTAAATTGTAGCCCAGGACTCAGCCTTGGGCTGGGTTTATTGATATGACTGAGATGGGTTGACCTTGGCTGGATATCAGTGCCCATCAAGTTACACTATTACTCCCCTCCTGAACTGGACAGGGGGAGCCTCCTACCCAGGTTCAGCTTCACTGCCAATTTTATCTATCTTTTCCCCCAGTGGAGGAATGGGTGCCTGTGATCAGGTCATTACACACTGTCTTTACTGCTCCATTCTCCTTCTTCCTCCCTTGCTCCAGTGTGAGGTCCCTCCTACAGGAGACAGTTCTCCATGAACTTCTCCAACATGAGTCCTTCCCAAAGGCTGTAGTTCACAAACTGCTCTAGCATGGGCCATTTCCACAGGATGCAAGCCCTTCAGGAGCCGACTGCTCCAGCGTGGGTTGGCATCTTCTCACAGAGGCCACCCCTATAGTTCCCTGCACAACCAAAACCTTGCCTTGCAAATCCAGCAGAGGCTAGGGTTAAAATTAGGGTTAAAAGAAAGAGAGCCCAGAGTTGCACTGAGAGTTGAGTTAGAAAGGAGGTGGGCTGCAAAGAGAACTTGGCTGGGAGACTGTTTTGGCTTGGGAATTAAAAGAGGGGGTGACAGCATTTAATTATGTTTACATCAGGATTAGAGTTAAGGATGGGAGAAAGAGCCTAGAATTCCAGCAGAAGGAGAGTTAGAGAAGGGCTTTTAAGGGGAAGTCTAAGTTAAAGGAACTTGGCAGGGCTGCCTGGTCTGAGGCCCAGCCTACTCTTAAGGTTGGAGTTACAGCTGAGGTTATTTTTGACAAGAGAGTATAGTACTGCAGGCCTAGCACACCTGGGATGCAAGAAGAACTTTGTTGTAAGAACTTTTTGATATGACTGGTGCTCTGCAGTCCTGGTCTGAAGTCCATCATACAGCTTGTGTGAGGGTTAGGGCTGGTGCTGGGAGCCAAAGAGAGCCTAGAGCTGCATATGAAGGGAAGCTTGAGAGCAGCTGATAGTGAAAAGGTTGGGCCACAGGGATAACTTGCCTGCCAAAACTTGGTGGTGGAAGCAATGGCTGAGGGGCCTGGTCCAAGGCTCAACATAACTTCTAGGTGTAGGGTGAGGTTTGAGGTTATGTTTGACATAAGGAAAGAGACAACAGCTGCAGCTGGCTCAGGGCTAGAAAGTGACTGTCCCAGGGAAGTGTAGGCTGCCAGAAGAACTTGGCAGCAAGAACTTCCTGGTGTGGGCACTGGCACCATATCCAAAGCCCAGCATATGGTTTGTTTGAGGCTTAACGTTAGAGCTATGAGACACAGAGGACCTGGAGTTGCAGCTGGAATGGAGGTACAAAGCAGATCTTAAAAACAAAAAAGGTGTGGTGTTGGAAAGGATGGATAAATATAATTATTCATAAATAATACAGCCAGGATGAGAACAGTCCTCCCAGCTAGCCGGACAATGCCCCTGCCTACGGATGGGTCCAGGGGTCAAGTGGACTGTTCCATCTCAGCCCCTAAAATGTATGGTTCACCTCGCATCTGTAATCCTCCCCTAAAACATCAAGTGCCTGTAACCCCATTGGCCCGAGCCTTGTTCCAGCCCACCTTGAAGCCCCCTAATAAGGGGTCTCCGAGGGGCCAGACCCTCTCTTGGAACTTCCCCTCCTCTTGGAACTTCCCCTCTCCTACAGCATCCTTTTGTCTCTCCCCTCCCCCATCCTCTCAAGCCTCGCCACGTGCTGGTCTGGCAGCTCGAGGCAGGACCTTTCTGCATCCCCAATAAACCTTGTAACCCAAGAGCAGCCTTCAGAGATCTCTCAACCTCATTCACCTAAACAGTCCTGGAGCTCAGCGCTCACTATAGTGTGGGGTAGAGCAAATGTGGCAGAGAGAATATTTTATTGAGGGCACTGGTTGGGGGACCTGGTCTAAAGATCTGTTAGTGCTAAGGTGGGCATTTGGACAGAGAGAGCCTAGAGCTGCAGATGGAGGGAGCTTAAAAAGGGAACATGTCAAAGGAAAGGGTAGAACATGAGAAGAACGTGGCTGTGACAATCTTTTGGTGCGGGCAATGGCTGGGGACCCTGCATTGTGACTCAGCATAAAATTACATTTTCCCTCAGGTCATTGCTAGAACTGGGGGAGAGAGAGCCCTGGAGCTCCAGCAGATGGTGAGTTAAAAGAGGTTTGAAAGGGAGGTCTAGGCTGCAAGAAATGGACTGTGAAATTTTTTACTGTGGGCATTGGCAGGAGGGCCTCAGCCTCTGTTCTGTTTTAAGGGACAGGATTACAACTGAGGGAAAGACATCCCAAGAGAAGAGTAGACTGCAAATGTAATCAAGTTTTGTCTCTTCAAGTGACTTCTGAGTTCAGCTGCATCTGTCTCATGGATTCAGTGGAAAACCTGTGCCCACAGTGGTTCCTACAGGAAAGGCAAGTACAGGCAACCATCTTTGTTTGTGGCACTTAAAACTGAAGAGGATAAATCTTTGCCTCAGACTTTGTCATGTAAATAGCCCAGGCCCTTGAATTTTTAAATTTTTGCTGTAATTGTTATTGTCAACATCCTCTGTTCTTCTGATAAAACCACCTTCTTTAGTGAGAACTCATATTTGCAGAGAAGAGCTCCTTAGAATCTATGCCAATATGACAAGAAAGTCTTCTGGAAAAAAGAGCAACTTCCTTCTTCAACCTTCCCTATAAAAAATCTACTAAAATTTTAATTATTTATAAACCAAAATGCTTAACTATAGGGATTTGCTCTGGAAAGATGAAGAAAGACACATGTGTGGCAGATGTTAGTCATGTTGATGTGCGTAGCATTGCACAGTGCTCAGATGTCGTGTTCTAAGTGTAATGTAAGGGATAAAATGGGTACTGAACTCTTCCAAAAGTCTGACTTCAAATCTATATTTAGGCATCTAAGTGACCTGCTTTTATTCAAAGGTGCTGACGACTCAGTTGCTTCCATTGACTGCAGCAGAACATAAGGGATTTTTTTGTTGTTGAATCCATTTTCAAGAACAAAAATTACAGTTGAGTATCTCTGTAACTCCTAAGTAACTCTGCTGGGGGAAAAAAAAAAAAAAAACAAAACAAAAAATGAGCAGAAAATTAAATACATCTCTGTTTTATCATACTCTCCATAATATGAAGACAAGGGACCATATAATAAATCCCAGTAACTGCTTCAATGCAGGAGGGAGATTAAACATTACTGCTTTAGATTCCAGCATGATAGATAACTTTGCTGTTGAGATCACAATGGCAAAAGAGAAATGGGGACGTGCAACACATTTTTAAATTTATGTAAGCTTGTGTTGGGGTCCCAGACTCAGGTATTGATCTTAGTTGCCCTGAACAGCCACACTGGGAACACATTCTGCCCAGGACCTCCACTTAAGCTCAGGGAGGGCACAGTTTAGGTCTCTGCCTGAGCTATGTTGTAGGTATACCTGTCTCCAGCTCTGTGTTTTGGTTATACCTTGGGCCTCTCTCGTAGGCAGCTTGCCTGCACCTCTGTTTCTGGCCCTGGATAGAACCTGTGCCTACGTTGTGCCTTCCTGGATGGACATGGTTCATCACCTCAGCTTCTCTGGGACTGCTGATGTGATGTATGCTCTTGCCAGCACCCTGCCCACCAAGTGTGGGCCCTGTGCATCCATGCCTTGTCACTGAGAGCACTGGTTGCAGTGGGATGACCCTCACTTGTGGTTTGTCCACCTCATGGAGCTGCCCTGCTCTTGCTTCTCCCTAAGGATCTGGTCACCTTGCTGAAGCATCAGATGATGAACAAAGCAAGATCTACAGCAGGCAGGTCAGTTTGTGTTATTCAGAAGCTGATGTATGACTTACTGTAAAGGCTCAGGAGATGTATGCTCTGTGTTACCCGTGGGTACTGGCCCCGAGCAGTGACAACAGATGTCATTGAGTTCCTCATCATACAGTGGAGCAAAACTTACGCGGTGTTCGATATTTCTGAGCTGGGCAGATGTGCCTTTACAGGATGTCGCCTGTCACTGACCACATCCTCTGTGGCCATGGAGACGATCAAGAAACATTCTGCTGGGGGTGTAACAGCACAGCGAGGTCACAGCGGTGCAATAGTCTTGCAGGGGACCGAGCTTTCTGTATTTGCGGCACGTCGGCTGCAGGAACCGCTCTGCTCAGGGAGCCGAGCTGGGGCGGGAGCAGCAGGCACAGCCCTGCCGCAGAGATCCCTCTCATTCCTACAGATCGCTGGCAGAGGGAACTGGAATCACACAAGCTGTATGAAGTTACGGCGTGAGCCACCAGCTCGCTAAAGAGCAGGGCGATGGGAGGCTCGGTTCCTCAGAGGACTGGCGACGGCGTGAGGGCCAGAGGCCAGCGGCCGACGGCCCCTTTCCCGCGGGGCGGGGCGGGGCCCGCGCCCAGCTCCGCAGGCCCCGCTCCCTGAGGGGAGGGCGGCGCGGCGGCCCCCCCGCCTCGCTGCCCGCGGCCGCGCAGGCGCCGCGCGCGGGGAGCATGCGCAGCGGGGCGGCAGAGCCGGCGCTCCGCGGTTCCCGCGGGGGCGGGGCGGGCGCGCGGTGCGTGGCGGGCGGGCGGCGGCCGCTCCCCGCGGGGGGGGCGGGGCGGGGCCGCCGCGCCGAGCGGGGCCATTTCAGCCGCCAGGCCGGGATGCGCCCGGCGTCCCGCGGCTGCCCGCCCGCCGCCCGCTCGCCCGCGGGGCTGCGGCGCTGATCGCTCCTGCCCGCCCGCCGCTCTACCCCACGCCAGCCCCTTCCACCTCCGCCGCCGGCAGCGCCATGGCGGCCCCCAGCAGCATCGTGCCCGTCATGGCGAGTAAAACCAAGACCAAGAAAAAGCACTTCGTGGCGCAAAAAGTGAAGTTGTTCCGGGCTAGCGATCCGCTGCTCAGCGTCCTCATGTGGGGGGTCAACCACTCGGTAAGCGCCGCCGTTCGACCCACACGAGCCCGCCCGCCGCGCTGGGGCATCGCACCCGGGGGCTGCGGGGGCGCGGGCGGGACTGGGGCAGGCACGTGCCGCCGGGAGCCCCCGCCGGCTGCCGCCCCTCGCCCGGCGGGGCCGGGAGCGCCTTACCCCGGGAGCGTGGGGTGTGCGGCGCGGAGCGGCTGCAGCGCCCTGCCCGGGCGCGGACGATGCGCGGGGGCCGTGCGGGGCGCCTGCGGTAGCCCGTGTCCGCCCTTTGGCCCCGCGGTTCCGCTCGGCGGCAGCGGGCGGGAGGTGCCCGGGAGGGGACGGTGCTGCGAGCGGAGCCCGAGTAGCTCCGCTCCTGCCGCCGGCACCGCGCGGGCGTCGCATGGATGTGCTGCAGTTGGGAAAAATCCCGGTTATCAGTGGGAACTGGCCAAGTTCGTCCCGCGTCCGTGCTGTTCGCTTCGGCAAGTGTCCGCTGCCAGTGTGCGCGGGGGAGGGGAGGAGGAAGGGCTTGGTGTGGTAAGGCGGCAGAACTGCACCATTTGCGAAGTGCTCCATCACCCTGCGGGGACGGGCGGCCCGGGCTCCGGGAGAGCTCCCGGCCGGGCGCTGGTCTGCGTTAAAATTAGGAGTCTGGTAAAGGTGTCACATGGTTTGGGCATTACGGGGTTCAGGTCGCAGCTTTGCATCTTTAAATAGCTGCCATGGCAGGTTAAAAGTGTAGAGCCCAAAGATCGTCAGAAATCGGGTATCAGGGCAGTTGAGCAAAGAGCGTGTTCCCTTCTGCTGGCGGAGCGCAGCCTGTACGCCTGTGTCGGGTTTGCATGGGTTACGTCTGCTGCTGAGTAACGAGCCTGTAAGAATGTCAGTGTGCAATTTGAGATCAGACTACAAATTTTGAAACGGTCTCATGAAACCGACAGAGCAGCCTGTAGTATTTGCTCACTATTCCTTTTGTTTCCTACACATCCATAGCCCATGAATTTTTTACCTCTGTGGATGTTTGAGTAGTTTTTGCCCAAAGTCTGTGCATCAAGCCTGGGCTCTGTTAGACTGTGTTAAACAGCACAGTGCCTGAAGTAAGGATCATGGGGAAATGCTTTGGCTGTATGTACCAGACAGAGGAGAAGCTTCAGTGAAGTTGAACAGTCTGTTTAAGGTAGCACTGTGGGTCGGTAGGTAATGGTGACAAAGGATTTCAAGTTTTCAGTAGGTCAGTTGTGAGCAGTGACATCTATGTCATGAACTGATAAGACAGTAGTTATTTATCTACAAAGCAGAAATATCTTTAATTGTGGAAGTGCATGATATTCTGATTTGCCTGATTTGGGCTTAAATACCCACATTTCTTTTGCTCCTTTTGTAGTAGCCAGTGTTATAGAAAATTCTCAAACAGGCCTCTTTAATGAAAGAAAGCAAGCGAGTAATTACAGGGTGAGAGAGTTGTACTGAATGGCAGCGTGTGCTAGCTGTTCACTGTCTTCCTGAGGAGAGGGGGAGAAGATCACTGATGAAAGCAGAGATCTTCCTGTTGCAACAGCTCGTTGCTATGTGAGTTCACAGTGGAAATACCACTACTTTTAGAGGAAAGACCTCTTCACTACAGTAATAACCAAGTATATAGTGACAAATGCAACACCATATGTGATTCTCACCATCCTGCAGTCATGTGCTGTAGTGTGCTTAGCTGTTCTCAATAGAAAATGTAATAAAGTATGTTGGTTCATGCACAGAAGATGCGAAATTGTGAACTGAAGTCCTCTCTTTGGAGAGGTTCAAAAAAAAAAAACAACACCAGCAACACAACAGGCTCAGAGAAAAGAGGCTTTGCATTCACATGAAGGTGATGGTTGTAGGTGTGAATATCTGTTGTGTTCTGCAGATGGCATTCCATTTCCTTAGCCCACTGCAAAATGTAGTCATGAGTAATGCTTGGAGGCCCTGTGGAAGTGAAATCCCACTGAATGAGAGAGCATGGAAAAAAAAATTTAATTTGATGTGTCCAAATTAAACATCTCTTCCTGGCCAAGAATGCATCATTGAAGTGTTGCAGGCTTCTCTGTTAGATGCTTTTCCTGTCATTTTGTAATGCTTCATGTGGCAATGTCCACCAAATGAAAATAAGTGTGCAAGCATGGTTTAACTCTGTTATCACAAATAAGAGTTTCTCATGGGAGAAATACAAACTATGTGTATTAATTAAGAACAGGAGTTAGGAATCCTTAGGTTTCTTAGCAGAATAAACAGAAATCCATAAGCAAAAGCTAGACTAAGAACAGAGCATAGATTATAGTTCATGATGGGAGTCATTAAACTTAGAACACAGTAATTATCTGGAAAATTATATTTAAGACTGTCTGTAGTGCCTGTCAGTTAATGAGAGAATAGAAATATGAGTCTTACTAACTGTCTCTTGGGGAATAAATATATATATATATTGAAACAGTGAAGCTGAGATGCAGTTCCTATGTTTCTGACATTGCTGCATGTTTTGGAAGGAAACACTTGGTGAAGATAAAGGAAAAAGATTATTTTTCTGCAGGTGTATTCATTTTTTAGTCTTAGGACTATACTTGATTGTTGAATATGGGAGGATTTTCAGAGTTTGAAATTGAATGTGAAAAAATTAAGAAAAAAACCTCAACTGTTGTTTTAACTCTCCTGTCCTAGAAGGAAACATGACTCTAAAGGGAAAACCTAAACATTGGTGTCACAAAGCTGAGGGCTGACAGCAGAGGTGTGAGTTCTTAATGGGGGGGGGAAATTTGCAGAGGCATGCCTGTTACCCAAGGTTCTTATCAATTACCCACACATTACAATGGTAAGCAACTTGCTGTTACTGTTTAGATAGAAGTAGAGGGGATACCTAATGCAAAGTCCTGTTTGGTAGTACAGTCAAATTCAGTAAACTTCAAAGGGCATGTGAGAGGAAAACATGAAACATTATCCAATGTCTTACGAAGCAATAAAAAATGTGTTCACATTCACAGCTGTAAATTCATTTATCAGTGTTCTGACACATTGCTGTAGAATGAAGCTTGCTGCTGAGTGAAAGGGAAAGCAACTGTGTCCTATTTTGTAGATCTGATTATAATACTGATGACTTGTAGCAGCAAAGACTAATTGTCAGTGCTTGGATCTTGCAGGCATCTGCATCATTAACAGTTGATTTTTATCTTTGTCTTTTACCCCAGTGTCAAAGATAATCTGGCTGTGCTACTGAAATAAATATTTAAACTCAGTGGTTAGTATGACTTAAAGGTATATTTTTAGCTAGCACCATAATTGTATTTAATTTACAAGTGATGTAAATAACATTCTTATCTCTATACTGTCACTGCTGCTGGATTTCCAATAACTGTAGGAAGTAGGAGAGGAAAGGAGGGTGGCATATAACTTGTTTTCTGTGCCTAGAAATGAAAGCCACAGATTCTGTGTATTCTGCATCCTATAATCATCCCAGGCACATTGATGGTGAATGTGCTCTCACTAGAATTGGTTGCGTGCTTCTGTTAGGAGCTTGTTAGGAAAGCTGGGAATTTGTAGGCTTAGGTCCTTCAAAACATCATCCTAAAAGATGGCAGAAACTAATACAAGTGGGGTTTTTTGTAACTAATTTTGAGGTAAAGAACAGACTGCTGGAGAGCTTGCCTACTGTGTCAACCATTAAATGTATTTAGGAGATGAGCATGAATGCCTAATGCAGTTCAGCATACTGTATAAGTTTAAAAAAACCCAACCAAAAACAAACAGCCCCCCCCCGCCCCAGCCCCTGGAATCTGTAATCACCATCTGTTTCTTGGATGATTACAAGCTGATCCAAAAATTTAACAGTGCCTGACTTCTCAATGGCACTTGCTGCCTAATAAGCAAGTGTGGAGAAACAAGAATACATGGATAAAATTACTTCCCCCCCAGCACTTTGTGGAGTACATCAGAAGGAGTGTACTTTCTGTGGCTAAAGAATTCAACACACTCCAATGAACTCCATGACCTTCTTCAACTGCTCACATGAGGCACTGTGAGCTTGCTGCTACTGTTGCACTGTTCCTTGTATTCTTGCTTTATTTTTAACAGAAGTGGAGCAACACCAGGAAGGAATAATTGTAAAAAGAGCTGTGGGACTCTATCAGTGTACCTCTTGTGTTCTTTCACCTTAGAGTTAGAAACTGGGAGGAGGACAAAAAGCATGACAAGTAAATGCATCTTTCTCCCCCTCTCATGCAGTAAGATATATTTGATCACATTAAGAGTGCTTCTGTATCTGTAGAAAGATATAAATGTGTGTTCTAGTCAGTTTTAAGTTTGGGGGTTTTCATTGGTCTTTCTTGTTACAAACTTTCATCCAAATACATAAGTAGCTCACCTATTAACACCTGTCCTTATGTTTTACCTTTCCACTGGAGAGCTTGTTAGGTAAAGTGGAACCTCTTAGTTGTGGCATAAATAATTTTTCTTAGACCTGACTTACCTAGCATCTCTCCTAGGAACTTTCTGTCCTGACACATGGTAGGTACATGTAGGAAAATGACACTGAAAAGGTGTTACTGAATTTTTCTGTAGGAAGATGAAACCTAAATAATTGAAAACTAAGTGATGCAATCTGGAATACAAATTCCATGTTTATGATTAGCTTTCATTAAAGAAAGGGTGAGATTGGTTGACCAAAACAAGCCCACAGCACTTAGTACTAGTGGTGTGCCTTCAAAAGTTACAGGAATTGGTAACTTCTGTGTCCGTATTTTTAATATAGTCTCAAATGACAATGTGACTGGTGACTGAGGATATGGAACCATAATCAAGACTCATGGCACTGGCTGTCAGTACAACAGGTTGGTTGGGAACTGTCTTGGAGTGGGGAGAGCTACTCATCACTCATCAGGTGTGTTCTTACTATTTGTGTTTAATGCAAAACATCACTGCTGCAGCTATGTTATAAGTGACTTTTCAAAACTAAGGCAAAGTAAAAACTAAAGGTATTAAGCTTTTCAATCATGAGCTTGGAA